GATGGCCAATCAGTCTTGATGAATCCAAAAAGCGGATGCAACCCACATCACTCAGACTCAGCAACCACTCCGGTCATTTCAATACGCTCGATCAGCTGCCGCCTCCTCCGTCTGTGCACGCAATCCCATCAGTGGAAGGGGTTTCAAGACAAGCCGAGACTTGAAAAGAAGACCTTCCAACAAGTTAAAATAGATAAAAACTGGAAGATGAAAATGAAAATTGAAAATAGAAGAATAAATCAACCAGGGAATAAAAATTTCTGCTGCTTGGGAATCACCAATCGCGCGGCACAGTGAAAGGCACACATGCAGGAAAACAGAGGTGCGGACGCCCCGGCAGCCTCAATCCCAGAGTCAAGCAGGGTAGCATCGCGAAGGGACGATGTGGAGGGCTCAGAGGCCAACCAGGCGGTATCAGACAAGCAGCTTAACAACTCCACGGGCGCAGGATCCAGGACGGGTGAGGGCCGGATAAGACAGCACCATCCCTGACAGAGAAAAAGAAATGAAGAAGGAAGGAAGGAGGGAGTGTGTGGTTGTTGTGAGGGGCGCGAGATGGGTTTTTATAGATTGCGGTGTCGGTTGAATCGGTGTGAGAAGGTGCAAAAGCGGCGAGGGGCCGGCTATCCCTGAAACGGCAACGGTCTCAGCAGGCTGGGCGCCCCGCGAACCGGCACAAAAGATACTATACAATTTTTTAATCAGTTATAAATCAATTGATAATCAATTAAGATATTTATATATATAACTTATAGAAATATATTATTATAATTTTTTAATCAGTTACAAATCAATTGATAATCAATTGAGATATTTATACAGTATATTTATATAACTTAAAATATAAATATTAGTTCTTCACAGCTGTCACACTTTGTCACTGTATTTGAGGTCTGGTGTGTGCACGGACGGCGCTAGCGAGGTCTGATTACATAACGAGGTCTGGTGGCGTACTTAGCGAGGTCGACTCTTCTGCTTCCAGGCAAGGTTCTTAGCTAGTTATCAATTCCAGCACGGTAGGATTCGAAAGGATGCGTGAAAGCCTGATTCCGCTGCCTACCAACAGCCGTTGTTGAGCACTGAGCACGAACGGGCAGTTGTAGTTGTAGAATAAACATCTAATTATATCCATACGCCACCAGCGCCATGCTGGCAGCATGTAGTTAGTTAATGTATAGGTCCATGTACAGTACACACATCTGTGGAGCAGACGAAGCTGAACCATGACAGCCTGCCTATTACCCCCTCCAGATATGAATCGTCCGAATCATGAGCTGCAATAGATGAATTTATAAAAGAATAAGAAAGAAACGCCCACAAAACAAGCATTGAGAACAGGTCCCAAGCGACCCTATTTTATATATCATCTCACGACCTGGCTGGTTTTGATATTATTATTTCCGTTTCAGTTCTGATATGCTGGTGGTGGAGGAGTCAAGGTATATATTAATTATTAGTATTAGGCGCTGACGCGCCCGCGCGGCTTGCACCGGCGGCGGCATCCCTTGCCTTGGTTCTTCTTTTGTTGGGAAGCCTTAACCAGCCACCAGATCAAGGTGTCCGAAGTATTTGTCGCTTCGATTCGAAAGTGTGTGGGCCGTATCTGTCGAATTCTGGGGCCAGTCAGTGAGTGGCGGTCGTCCTGTCTGGGATGAGTGAGAAAGTATGTATGTACAGTACATACATACAGTAGCACAGATCTCGGGTTTGGGCTGAGAGCAGATCGATCCACCATGCCAGGTTCATTGAGGGGATCGACGAGCATCTATCCTAGGGTATATCCCGATTGGGGCCGGGAACTTCACAGAGCAGACAAATTGGGTATTTCTCGTTCTGGTTCCTTGAAAGGATCCAACAGGACTTGAGTCATATATTTTGTCTGTCGTGGATGGTGCTGCTGCTGCTGCTGCTGCTGCTGCTGCTGCTGCTGGGGATAGATTCGGCTGCTAAAAAATCAAACAAATATTTGGCTGTTTAATCACAGCTGTTGGAGCATTAGGAATAGTAGTACTCCGTATAGTAAGTAGTATAGTATGGCACTCACCTCCTGCTAACTGTATTTATTTACACGATCTGGACGAGGAATCCGTGGTGTATACTCCGTACATCCCCCTTGCTTCTTCTCCCCAACGCAAAACAAGATAAGCATCTGGTGGCGGGCTCTAGCACCGTCTTGGCAGCCCTTGGCTAACGAGTATATATCTTCTCTTGTTTGATAACAACCACAACCACCTCAACAACCACCGGAAGAATGGCTATGGCTATCCATCTATGCCTCTATCTACCCACCAACCCCCGATCCCCGCTGCCTAGTCCCGACACGGAATCCCCAAGAGCAACACAAGTTACACAACACATCCCAACCCGGTTTGCCAGTAACCAGACAACCAGATCTCGAAATCTTGATCGGCCTGATCGGCGGATAACTTAGTGCAATGCCTGCCCTTGCCCCTTCTGTCTTCCCGCACTTTGGGACCCCACAACCTGCGCGTCTCTTGCGTTGGATCATGTTGGGAACCATGGGGCCGCGATGTCTGGTTGGACCGGGGCACAAGGAGGTTTCCCACAAGGAGGTTCCCACAAGGAGGTTCCCCCCACAAGGAGGTTCCTTCGTCCCTCATCTCTGATCCGTGGCTGCTGGCCCCTTCCTGCTGGCCCTTTCCTGCCCCTTTCTCCTACCGGAACCGTGGGTCGACGCGGCGCCACTGCCTAGACCCCGGTCGATGACGAATGCATGGGCGATCTCTCTCTATATTCTGTGTGTGTGTGGACTATGGGCGGGTGGTTGGATGTTCGTTTGGTGCTCCAATATCCCGCAGTACTCCATCTCCTGTTGTTTGTTACTGTACCAACAACATCCATCTCTCTCTCTCTCTCTCCGTCCTCTTCCTCTTCCTCTCCTACGATGATCTCGCTGGCTCCAGACTCCGCCATGCGAGTCCATTCCTTGTTATCTGGATAGATCTGGATAGAGGCTGTTACTGCGCCCCTTATCCTCCTCCTCCTCCTCCTCCTCCTCCTCCTCCTCCTCCTCCTCCTCCTCCTCCTCCTCCTATTACTACTACTACCACCGTACACTTACTCGTCTCTGTGCTTCAATCCTTTACCTTCCCCCCAAAACTCTCCCCCAACATGGCCCTCTCCCGGGCCTATAGATCCGGCTCCCCGCGTCTGCTGCGCAAGCCTCCCGCCATCTCCGGCATCGTGCTGCTGGCCTATCTGGCCGTGTTCTGTCTCCTCTGCAGCGTGGCCAAGTACTGCCTGGCCTCCTTCCTGGCCTCGCTCCGCCACTACCACCCCGCCCGCCCGCAACGCGAGCTCGTCGTCGCCGCCATGTCCAGCGACAACACCTCCTGGCTGCACGAGTATCTGCCCGACTGGGGGCGGAAGGTATACGTGGTTGACGACCCCGATGCTCCCCTGACCGTGCCGAGCAACAAGGGCAGGGAGGCCATGGTCTACCTGACGTATGCAGTAGTATCCAGTTCCTTGCGGGGGGGAAAGGGGATGGGGGGAAACCCCATTCCCCCCTCGTCTGGCATCGTACGTGACCTCAACCTCAGGTCGCTCTGAATCGCTTCAACTTTGCTTCATCTCATCATCATCATCTTCACGGATTATTGTTGTATCTTTCTGCCACGGACCCAGATAGTGTCGTAAGCTGAGGACCCGGACTATTACTGGAACCAGTTTCCTTGCATTTCCTTGCTCACAACACTCGATCTATCATACCTGCCGCCAGAACTTCTCTAGCGTGATTACTTTTCTTTAGGTGGTGCCCTG